CCACAACTAGACTGAAGAACAAAAGAACAGCAACTTGTCTGTTCCCCTTCCCCAATTCCCGAACGCTGTTCTCCCCCAATTCCCCAATAAAATCTTAAAAAAAAAAACAAAAAAAACCCACATGGGCAAAGAAAAGCCCTGTCTGTTTTGATGTAGCTAAAAACTGGAATCAGGGCTGGAAGCAGTTATGGAGGAAAAGTAGTTCTATCACTGGGTACTAGGGGAGTCAATGATACTGCAATCCTTTATTCTTAAGGGCACTTCTGTCCCCAGTTTGTGACCTCCCATCACCCAAATTCTCCTATCATATAAATTGGGTGATTCCCTTTATTTTTGGAAACCCAAAAATTCTCATGATGAGCAACTCAAGAAACCACAGTCCTAAATCTTCCCTACCCTGTGATTTTTTTCCCCTTTTCCATGGACCACAAGATAACTCTATGGGCACAGGAATCTTGTGTCAGTCCAAAGGAACCACCTCATGTTCTTCTGCACATACCTTTCCGTGACATCACTCACATCCTAGGGAGGAAAGAAACAGGTTAAGTCAAGGAGTAATAGGCTGTGCCCTCTCATACAGCCTCATCCATGTTCCTCATCCCATCCCTACAACACAGTGACATGATGAAAATAAAGATGGCCCTAATGTGGAGTCCACATAATACAGATAAGAACTCAGAGCAGACAGTTCCTAGATCCCATGTAGGGATGTTAGGAAATGATTCAATTCATTCATTAAAACCTTTATTTTTATAACTCTTTGTGTGTGTGTGTGTGTGTGTGTGTGTGTGTGTGTGTGTGTGTGTGTGTGTGTAAAATGTTATATATGTACATCATCTACTGTTCACCAGGCAATGCCTGGCCCTAGAGAATTGCACATGATTAAGTCATAATTTCTGTCCTCGAAATACTTACATTCTGGTTGTGGAGGATACAGGGGCCTGAAATGTGACTGTTTCCCAAACCTCACCTCCTCTAACCTTCTACGCTCACTTTGCTGACTTCATCTATTTTTTTTATTTTTTATTTCAACAAACACACATGTTGAAGATTCCCAAAGCTGTACTTCTGCTCAGATCTCTTTTATATACCCCACGAAATGAGCCACAGGCACCACAAACTTAAGATGTTTAAAAGAAAACTTACTTTCCTGCAATCATGAAGTCTCCTGTTATCTTCCATCTTCTTCAATGATACCAGCATCCATACAGTCACCAAATTAAGACGAACTACTGTCCTAAAAACTACCTGATATTCACCCTGATGTCCCACCTAGACCAAGCCAATTCATTTCACATTCTCTTTTTAGCCACCTGCTCTTCACCACCATCCCTGCCACTGCCTGCTCCACTTGAACAGAATTGCCTCCTGGCCTATTTGGTCTCCCTAACTTCTGTTCTATATTCCTCAATGACTGAAGAAAGGTTGATGGTTTGATCTATATAACACAGAATAACAATTTTTTCTGTTTTGGGCTATTATTGGTTCAGAAACACTCAAACTGGCTCACATATGGAAAGTGACAGAGTGGGTAGATGTGTCAACTTACACCAAATATCCGGGATTATATCAACTTTAAGCAATGGCTGCACTGAGGAACTCAAATGATCCAATGAGGGAGCCACCGCATGGCTATTTCTCCTATGTCAGCTTTATTCTCAGGGCTCACATTTTGAAACTTCAAAGCTGTAGGCTTATATCTGGTTATTAAATCTTAATGAGCAACAATGTCAAACAGGTATGGAAAAGAGAAGGAAGAATGTGTCTGCGATGAGCAAGTTCTAGGGAAATTGACTGAGATAACATTCAAGTTAAAAATGTCCATTGGGAAGTCATACTAATGGGTGTGAGAGTCTCGACAAGCACCTTAGACAGGCACTAATAATATAAATAGATGATCCCTTTGCACTTACGGAGCAATCTTTACAGTTTGAGGAGTCTATGGAGGGGCTAGAACAAGGTGGGGAGGGGAGGCATTAAGAGTAACCCAACATCAAAGAAGACAAAAATGGGCAAGAAGAATAAAATGAAGATGTGAAACCAGAAGCAGTGAATGAGGAAAAGCTCCAACAGGTAGGAAGTAACTACCCCTTGACCCCAGCACTAGAGCCCAAGAGTAAGGAAAGAAATGATTATTCCAGCAGCAAAGGGACAGCAAGACGAAAGCAAGAAGACAAAGAAAAAATACGGAACAGCCTGGAGCTTCCAGAAAGTCACAAGGTACATTCTGCCTCAAGTTCATAGTCATACTGTTCATTCTGTGTAAAAAATAGCTCCTCAGATTTCAACCTCCACCATCAAATTTTAAGCTCCACTATCAAATCCATCTGGATTTGACACCTTGCATTCTCCCAATTTATACATCACACACAGACCAAAGCCTAGGCTTCTTTGTGTCTTAAAAGACCAGTTCAAACTTCTGTGACAATGTGTTAAATGATTCTGCACTAGAGAAGACAGTGAAAGCAAAGAAGGGCTGGTGATTACATGACCTCTAAGTACTTGAGCTTGGTATGTGTTTCCTGTGACTAAGCTGGGCGTAAGTACCTGACAAATCCCAAAACAGCATCAAGGTAACAAGTGCCCAATGGCCAGTGATTCTCAACATTGAGGAGGTGGGAGATGTTCCCCCAAGGAACATGTGGCTGTATCTTGTGGACCACAGTTTATATTTAATAAATAAAAATGAGACATCCCCTTAGCATTTGTACTTTTAATTACTCATGCTTTATCCATGACTTCTGCACAGCTTAATAGGGAAGAGGCACTATAGGGTCCAAGGAATTTAGCTCTTGACCTGACAGGATATCAGTCTCCGGTCAGAGGGGTAGGAAAGTTAGTATCTTTTTGACCTGACTCAGATCGGGGCTCCTTTGCGAGTCTTACCTGCAGCAGTTCCATCGCGGACCCCTGACACCGATGCTCCAGGTCTGAGATAAGCTCTCTCAGCGCCTGGCTCTGGTGGACCAGCTCATCCTCAGCCTCGTCTATAATACTCAGCCCCTTGCTCTGTTCTTCCTCCAGGTTTTTCAGTTGTCGCTGCTCCTCTTTGTCCAGGATTCTTCTCAACTGATTAAACTCTGTCTGGATCCTGTGTCTCTCAGGCTCCATCTGATTCTTCAGGGACATGGGGAGAGAAAGAGGCTACTAGCCTATTGATCTGAGGGCCTCCTCTCTAAATGATAGGAAATCAGGCTAAGCACTGCTTCTTTCTTCCAAAGAACAGAACCTGCTCTTTCTTCCATTCTCTCTCCCACTCTTCTCAGAACATTAGCCCCAGGCAGCCTTATCTAGGCTTCTTAGAGATAGACTTGGATTCCTGGGTGAGGTTTAGATTTCAAGCAGCCTTCCCATCCAATTTTGAGTACGGAGGTAGGAAAGACTGGCCTATGTCTAGCCTGCCTTTCCAAGTTTCAGAGCTTGAAACTGTAGAACAAAGTCCAGAATCAAGAATTAGGAGCTGCCAATGGCCATGGTCCTCTCCTATGTGATTATCTTTAAAAAGCCTGGGTTCCCTTTTGATATGTTCATTGACTAACTCTCCTTTTCTCCTCCCACTGCACCAAGAACAATACCCTCATGTGGAAGGGCTGCAGTGAAGGACTAGGCAAAGGGAAGCTCTTCTAGCCAAACTGGGGACAGAAGGACCAGGTCTCCTTGCCCTCGACTCCCATGCCTAGATTCCTGTCCCAGCACACCTTTAGGAAGAATCTCTTTTACCTTCCACGATGTTCTCTTCTCTATGATAACAGATTTTAGTTTCTCAGCTTCCTGCTGCTCTTGCCTCAACCTCTTCAAAGACTCTTGGAACTTCTCCTGGAAGAAACACATTGAGTCAAGCAGGGTCCAGTATTAGACTGTGTCAGTGCCTAGACATGGAATGAATGGGCTAAAGATTATGCTGACATCAGAAGCCTGTCCTGCCCTGAGATAAAAAACGGAGAAGGCCAAAGTGTCTTTTACTCATCTACACAGAGGACAGAAACCAATGGGAACAGGCTGATTCTCTTCCTTCTGGGGAAAGAACCTGACCATGAAGTACTTTTAGTCCTTTCTCTCTTTGCCAACACTGCCCCCATACTCAATCAATCAAGACCATTATTTGCCCCGAGTAGCATCCTCTACTCAAAAGGCCATGCAGAGCTGAACCTGGGCAATAAGAAAGAGGCAATGTCTCTACTATTGGCCAGGGGGGCATTTTCTAGGTTCATTCCTTTAGCTAAATAGGAGGACTACAAAGAAATTAGATTAGATGATGAAGTTAAAATCTCCTGCCAAGAACTCTGTTCCTCTTGACTTTCCTTCCGTGTGGGCTCCCACCTGGTACTCCTGGGCAACCTCCTCCATGAGGAACGTGTGGTGACCACGGTGCTCCTGAGACCGCTCGCAAAGCCAGCAAATGACCTTCCCATCCTCCTTACAGAAGAGCTGGAGTTTCTCTCCATGGTGCGCACAGAGAATCACCTTCAGCTCCTTCCCTGAGCCCAACACCACCTCTCTGAGCCTCGCTGCTATGTTGGCCAGGTGCCGATTAGGCCGCAGGTTCCTGAGCTGGTAACTGGTCTGGCACACGGGACAGCTCCTTTCCCCTTCTTGGTCAATCTCCGATTCCTGGCTATTCTCTGTGATGCAGGCTTGGCAGAAGCTGTGGCCACAGTCTATGCTCAGGGGTTCTGTCAGGAGCTCCAGGCAGATGGGGCAGGTCACCTCCTCCTGTATGTCCACCAGTACTGTTGAAGTCATTGCAGCCATTCTCCTGGTTCCTGCCTGCCCAGGCCTGGTGTCTAAGGTGCTTCCTGCTCACAGAATCCTGGGTAGACGGGCAAATAAAAAAGGATCAGAGTAAGAAAATAAGGGAGGGAAAGAAAAGGATGCTGACTATCCTGGACAAAGAGGTCAGACTCCTAGGCTAACAAGAGCTTCTCATTGTATTTTCAAACATATTCATCACCCCAACTCATATTAGACATCAATTTGACCCTCATTAGAAAAAAGATTATGATTTCCTTTACCCCTACTGGATGGAGGGACAACTTGAGGCCTCGGAGAGGCGTGGCCTTGTGTGAGCCACCATCTGCTTGGCCTCTTCCCAGCCCACCAAAACACCCCCTCAATGTTAAAAGCACCAAAACACGCTGCTGCCTCAGGATTTTTGCAGTTGCTATTACTGCTGCAAGGAAGACCCTTCATCCTAATATCTGCATGACTCTGATTTCATTCAACATGTTCCCTTATCAAAAGTCTTCTTACACGTTTCCTTATCAGAAGAGTCTACTCTGTTGAGCCTAGCTAAGGCTCGGCCACCCATACAATCACTCTCGATATACTTACCTGCTGGATTTTTCTTCTTATCACAACCTAATATATACCTTTAATTGTCATCCCACCAGAATAGAAGTTCCATGGGTTCAGAAACTGTTTTTGTTTATTATCATATCGTCAGACCTGTAACAGTACCTGCCCCACAGGACCGTAACTTTAGATGAGTAAAAACTGAGAAACTGCTCATGCTCCCATAGATGATTAGACTTTCTCAAGAGCTTTTCCACCTCTCTTTGCCATCATTGTGGCATTGCCCTCCATTACCTGATCGCCAAGATTAGAGGTCATTTACTGTGAGAATGCCTCTACTTTCTAACGGCTGTGTTCCACACAGAGCTCTTGCATTCTTCATGGTCACAGAAAAATCCAAAGAAACAATGACCACAATAACGTAAGATAATGTTTTTACAACTAACACAATTGTGATTTAAAAACACATTCCACTGCTTTCTTTATCCCTCAGAGGGAAAATCTGAATAAATAAGAGTATTCGTGGCCCTTTGATGAAGAAATAGAGAAATTAAGTGATTTTATAAAAATCACACATCTTGTAAGTTGTAGAGCTGGCATAACCTAACATGGCCAGAGTTGTAGTCCAAAGCTCTGCTTCAACCTCATACCTTTAACCAGTCAAGTGTTCAAGGCGGTAAAAGTCAGGCACAGACACAGCTTTAGGACTGTGGAAATGGGAAAGTTCCCATTTGATGAAGAAATTTCACAGAGGCCTGTCATAAACTTTGACAGGACCCTTAGGGGGGCCCATATGTGGGGGAGAAAGGGGGTAGGTGGGGAAGTCGAGGCCACATAGTGACAGGATAGTTCACAGACAAAGACCTGAGGAAGAGGTATGCAGGTTGGGTGGCTGGGACAAAGTTGTCTTATAGCATTTGTACGAAGTATTTTGGAATCACTGATGGGAGAAAAGTGTAAAAACAGAGGGAAGGGAGGAATAAAGTATTGATATATGCTACAACATGGATGAACTTTGAAAACATTAGGCTAAGTGAATGAAGCCAGACACAAAAGCCCACATGTTGCATGATTCCATTTATATGAAATGTCTGGAGTTGTCAAATCTATAGACATACAAAAGATTAGTGGTTGCTGGGGACTGGTGGGAAAGTGAATGAGAAGCGACTGCTAATGGACTGGGGTTCCTCTAGGGGTGATGAAAATGTTCTGGAATTAGACAGTGGTCCTGGGTTGAACAATTTTGTGATTATGCCAACAAAATTGAATTGTATATACTTTCAAAGGGTGAACTTTATGGTATTTGAATTATATCTCAATAAGAAAATTGTATGAGAGGAAAACAAGAAGGCTATCTTGTGACTTCTAGTTCAGAGTCCTCCCAGCCCCACAGCTTTTACACCAGGCGTGCTACGGGTGAGCATCTAAGAGTCAGTCAGGCATAGGATTATCATTGGCGTGGGGAGATACTGATGAATAAAACAAATACAGTAAAATCTTGAATTGTGAGTAATGTAGTTTGCGAGTATTCCACAAGGCGAGCAAACATTTCTAATACATTTTAACGTGGTAAACGAGCGATGTCTTGCAATACAAGTAGTTTGTTTCCAGAATGAAATATGCTCGCAAACCAAGGCATTACTGTACTTACAAGGAGGTAAGTCATTTAGATTCCCTGCAGGGGGCAACTCTATTTTTGAAGACATAGACAAAGACATTATTAATGTAGACAAGTATGTGTGCATGAAAGTATTTGTTTTAAAGGATAGTGGAAGGCAGAAAATAACCATAGATACCATTTTCGATCACTTTTTATGTGCTAGGCAATGGATGAACTCTTTATAGGCACTATATAATCTAGTCCCACAGTAATTCCGTCAGGGGAGTTTAAGAATACCTTTTTTATGAATTTGAAGTGAATTTCTTAATAAGATATTCGATTACCAAAAGTTTCAAAGTGACAAAGTGAAGATTACAATCCAGTTTTATGCAACTCCAAGTCTCAAGTTGTTAAGCAGCCTAGCAGAGTGGCTGGTCTGGTCCTTAGAGGGAGAAGTTTTCTTCATGCCACCCATACCACTGGCTGTGGCACTCAGTCATAAATTGCCTCTGCTTGTTTCTATCCATATCCTGACTTGTGCTTGCCTCATTTTTTGACTGCACTGATTCTGCACGATATTCCCCTTCCTTCTGGCATTTAAAGGCATCCTACAGTTCTTCCTGAGTTATTTATTGGTTCCTTCTCTGTTTTATTCTTGAGTCACATCCCAGGGACTCAGGCTGCTTCCTTTGCTCTGCAGTGTGGGGTGGAGGAGAAGGCACAAGCGCTGGAGTCATACAGACCCAGGTCTGAATGCTGAATTTTTTTCTCTAGCTTTGGAGCATTGTTAATTCCTGATCTGAGATGCGATTTAATATTTTGTGTATTGCTGAAATCAATTCCTTCCTTATAGCATATTTGTAATAATTATCTGAGCTAATGTGTAGAATAGCCTCAATTAAAAACTATAATAGTTATCACTACACTTATGCTGTCACAGCTCTTTGATCCTTTCTTTGGATCCTTTCTCTGTTACCATAAGGAAAAGAGCCTCTTCAGTGTTTTTATCAGGGATAGGGATAGCAAAGTCTATATAAACATTTGTTATAAAAATAAATGATCCACTTTCTCACCCCTTTCATATCTTCTTACTTCTTTCGAATCTAGGAGAAAAGTCCACTATCTCAATTCATAACAAGATTTAATAAGATGACATTTAAGGACAAAATGAGAAAGCTGGACCTTACCCAGTGAGCGGTTCCCGAGTGCCTGATACAAGAGGCAGTTAAGAATGCTAGAATAAGTCAGACGGAGAAAGACAAATACCATCTGATCTCACTTATATGTGGAATTTAAAGAACAGAATAAATAAGCAAATTAATCAGAAATAGTCTCAAAGACATAGAGAAAAACTGATGACTGCTAGATGGGAGCGGGGTGGGGATGAGGGAGAAGGTGAGGGGATTAGCAAGCACTGTCATAACCACAAGATTGCCATGGGGATACGAAAGACAGTTTGGGGAATATAATTAATAATGTTGTCAAGATTTTGTAGGGTGCCAGATGGGTACTTGTCTTATTAGGGAGACCACTTCATGGACAGTGTAAATGCTTGACCACTGCACTGTACCCCTGAAGCTGAATAATACTGAATGTCTACTATAATTTCATATATAGATATCTATAGATATCTATATCTATAGATATCTATATCTATAGATATATATCTATATCTATAGATATAGATATATATCTCCACAGGATGTGGAGTACAGCATAGGGAATAGAGTCAATGGAATTGTAACAGCTATATACAATGTCAGAGAGGTAGTAGATTGGGGGAGGGGGGTTATCACTTTGTGAGGGGTGCGAATGTCTAACTATTACATTGTTTTGTACACCTGAAACTAATAAAAAAAAGAAAAGAAAGCTAGGCACTTCTCTGACTAGACAACTAGAGATGCTACAACTTACTCTAACTTTATTTTTTGTCTGTGCTGAATTAAGATGGATGCAGAGCATCTTTTTTCTCATTCTTGGAAGTTTTCAGTTGTTAAATTAGATTACAGTTGTTTTAAATCACACTGAGAATCTTTTCTTTCCTCTCTCCCTCCCTCCCTTCCTTCTTTCCTTTCTTCCTTCCTTTTCTCCTCCCTTTCTCCTTCCTTTCTGTTTTTAGTTTTACTATTCCAGCATTGAATCACTTTTATGGAAAGCAGTTTTCTCTGCTTGCCTAGCTGAAGTCTCCTGTGGGCCACTGAAGAAAAGCAAACTCACAAATGCACTGTGTAGTTAAAGGCACATTAGCCCCAGGCTGAATTGTGACCATCATGTACAGACTAGGCTACACGGCAGCTGAGAACAGGTGTAATTCCAAATTTTTTCTTTGTGTGGCCTACCAGCAAAGGCAGATGTACACTGATGACAACATAGTGTGGGTATAATTTGAGGACACAAGGTTCTGTTATTTGCACCAATTTTCCCGATGGATAAAAAAACATCAAATTACCCATCAATAACAGTAGGTCTTTATAGAAGAAAAAGCCTGAGAAAGTGTCCCAGACTAAGAGAAAACATTCTGTGTGACACAGCATACCTAGCTGAGCAGGGCAAGTACAGGGCATTGCCGGGGCTGTAATGAGCTGAAAACAGAACCTCAGTGCTATTCCCTAGTGGTCTCTGGTGCTCTTGCAGGTCCTGGACCTGTTCAGCTTTGCCCAGTTTAGTAATAGTAACAGTAACGGCAAGTATTTATTGAAGCCTATTAGATACTGGGCAATATTCTAATTACTATTCATGTAACAACTCAATAATTCCTTGTAACAACATTGAGTGTCCCTGCAACTCCATTTGACAGTTGTATAAACTGAGGCCCAGGGAGGTTAGGAAGGAAGTCCAAGTAGTCAATTAGGGATTTGAAGGCAGACACGCAGGCTACAGAGTTCTTACTACTCCTCTTTCTTCTGCTTCTCTATAAA